AGCAATCATGTAATTAATATTAGGAGAATTCATTATTGAAGGGTTACTTTCCCTAAGTGATATTCCTGAGCAGCCTGATCGTAAAACTGGCACCTTTGATTCCGGAGCCTGATAACGTGGTGCTTGACTGTTAAACTGACAAAAGGGACATTAACCAGCGATTAGTGTTGAACAGCCCATCAGAACTCTTCTTAAAAGGGGGCAGGAAACCCTAAACTGCCCCCCCCCCCACACACACACACACATAACCGTGGCAACTGTCCTTGCTCTGCGTTTCATTACCTCATCAAAGAGACTCTTTTTCACGCCTAGATGAGGAACTCCAGGACACCAGAGACACAGACCTGAACTCCCTTATGCAAACAAAGATTGACGTGCAAACGTGATAAGCCAGGATATGCAAAAAGGGGACACAACTCCTGCCTTCTTGAGCTAAAACGATGTTTCATTATAAACTGTTCTCTTCAAATAATAATCCTTGCTAAGTTAGTAGTGGCGCTGCCTCTATTTGAGTAGTTATGTCACCATGTTGTTCCTATCTATTATTATTGCTGAAAAGAATCTAAATAAGTTACTTTTGCAGTGTTTTAATTTTCAGCAAGGTTAAGGACACTCCTTAATCAATGCTTGTTCACAATTTTCTCACACAATTCCTTTAGAAATGATGATAAAAGAAATGTCATACTATACGCTATTAATTACCAGCTTGAATTTAAGGCTAAATAAATACATTTTCCAGCTCCTGAGAAGATTGTTTTAGATTAATCTAAGCTGTCGTCATGTAACCTGAGCTCCCCCAAGTGGACGAAATAAGTATTACATGCCATCATTCTGAAACGCTAACCTTTTAAGGTCTATTCACTGACAATTGTTTCCTGTTACCAAATGCTTAAAATTACAACTATTTGATCATTGAGGTTTGATTGTGGGAAAATATTTGATTATAATACGCGCAAATAGATTTTCTTTTCCTTTTATAGACATATTAAAAGTTTAGAAAGACAGTCCCTCGGGAAACTGGAAACGGCCCGCCCTGCGGGAAACAAAGCAGTGCCCTCTGGGGAACCATGCCCCAGACAACAAAAGAACGACACACGACAGACAACAAAAGAATGACACACGACGTCGCTCGCACTCTTCCTCCCTTGCTTTCTGCCACCCTCCTCTGCCGGTTTGTTCTGGGCTCTTCAACGGCACTTCGGCACGCGCCCAGCGTGCTCCTCTCCCGGCAACGCCCTAAGAATTCGACCAGTGCAACAAAGTCTTTGTTTCGCTTGAAGCTACACACACGAAGTGCAGCGACTTCAGTTTCCCTCAGTTCCAGGAACTTTACTTGTTTTATTTTCTTTCTTTTGTTTTGTTAAGTTATTAGTCCGTTAAGTTATACTAGTTTAATTCAAGAACGACAAAGTTCTTTTTAAGCTTTTCCGTTGAGCCAACTTCACTGAGGTCAGACCAAACCACGTGGTCTCGCCAGCAGCAACGAAGGACACCTGAAGAACAGCTGAATTGCCAGACGGAGGACGGCCAACCCTTGAGGGTTTTTCTTCAATCAGACACGGAGAACCCCGGAGAATCCCTAGCAAAAAGCCAGGATCGGGCAGCTAGCGTGGGACAAGCAGTAAGACTGCAGGCTGCCGACAAGCAGTAAGACCAAAACAAAGCATTCTGTGGTCAGGGATGTCCCATAGTGTTAATATTGTCTTTCTAACTCTTAAAACTCATACCTTACTTTAATTAGTTCTCCTCTGCCGTATGAGTCAAATGCTTCCCACAATCAAACCTCCATTCTCATTGTTTATTTCTCTGATGTATTTAACCACCTTTCTATATCACCTTAGTTAGTTAATAAATTCACTGTAACCAAGGAATTGTGTGTGTTGCATATTTCTACGTCCCTGCCAAGAGAATTGACCCTTTAGATATGAGACTGACTGATTGATTTAAGATAATTGAACTGATCACTGGTTAATAATTGTATAATTATTAAAAGCTACCTAGAGGTCCGGAGACTCTAGGTTAATAACAACTCCGGTGTTGCCCCGCGAAACAAGAGATTTATAGATTAATATTTTCTGAATATTAAAATTCATAATTGGGTATTCTCATAAATGTATTAAAATTCAGATGTAGTTTAGACCTGCTACAATCTGTAGTAAACACATTCAGCATCCAACAATACTGTATAATTACTTTGTATTCCACTAGAGTAGCAACCCTAAGAAAAATAATTTTAAAAAAATTATTTAAAAATAAATATATATATATATTTTTTTTTTTCCATCAATTTTATTGGAGTCTTATGACTCACACACCCCTACTTTACTGTGGGTCCCAGACCCAAAAGAACTGATGACCTACAAGAAATCCACTGCCCCCCAGTGATTTCTTGACTATAGTACCTTTAACACAAAGCTTTCCCGATTCACACAACGGCCACAGGCCTGCCCTGCTGACACGTCTGTCACGCTCACCCTGAGAGGTAGCGAGAATCGTTCCACTTGAATAGTCTACTCACCAAAAAGAGAGTGTTGCCAGCCACCAGGTTCGTTGTGGATGACAGCAGTGAGAGCCTCAGACACTCAGGCGTCAGGCCCTCAACGTCTCACCCATATTTTGGAGGGGAGGTTTGAAGTCCCAGAGTCTCAACTCCGGCCGTACAGTTTTTCACCTGCAGCTCCGAGTGTCCGAGTCCTCTCACGCATGTGACGAGCCGACAACGCCAAAATTGTGGTGGGAGAAGTGTGTTTGAATAAACGGCTCAGGCAAACACTTGTCTTTCTGTGGATTTTATTGAAGTCTTCTGCAGAAGGAACTCACAGGGACACATACACATCAGAGAGTATCGTCCGAGTGAGCTGCAGTGTAACAGCTCATGCAGCTTTTATCTTGTCTCAGGGTCGGAGTACTATCTCATCAAAGGAACATGGTGTCTTTCAGTGTTCCCTAGGGGATCTATAGAAAGACACCCATGTCCAAGGTACATGTGGTGAACCACTTAAAGTCCTGACCCCTCTGGACATACGTTAAAGCATCACACACATTTACCTTCCATTGACCCCATACCCAAGAGGCTGGTGAGATTATTTACATGGCAGTGTTTTAAAGATGGTTCTCATGAAATTTCCATTACAGAACATGGAGATTATTTTTCTCACACTGACTTAAAAGTTTTAACACTTCTGACATACAGTAAATACACTCACCTAAAGGATTATTAGTAACACCATACTAATACTGTGTTTGACCCCCTTTCGCCTTCAGAACTGCCTTAATTCTACGTGGCATTGATTCAACAAGGTGCTGAAAGCATTCTTTAGAAATGTTGGCCCATATTGATGGATAGCATCTTGCAGTTGATGGAGATTTGTGGGATGCACATCCAGGGCACGAAGCTCCCGTTCCACCACATCCCAAAGATGCTCTATTGGGTTGAGATCTGGTGACTGTGGGGGCCATTTTAGTTCAGTGAACTCATTGTCATGTTCAAGAAACCAATTTGAAATGATTCGAGCTTTGTGACATGGTGCATTATCCTGCTGGAAGTAGCCATCAGAGGATGGGTACATGGTGGCCATAAAGGGATGGACATGGTCAGAAACAATGCTCAGGTAGGCCGTGGCATTTAAACCATGCCCAATTGGCACTAAGGGGCCTAAAGTGTGCCAAGAAAACATCCCCCACACCATTACACCACCACCAGCAGCCTGCACAGTGGTAACAAGGCATGATGGATCCATGTTCTCATTCTGTTTACGCCAAATTCTGACTCTACCATCTGAATGTCTCAACAGAAATCGAGACTCATCAGACCAGGCAACATTTTTCCTGTCTTCAACTGTCCAATTTTGGTGAGCTCTTGCAAATTGTACCAACAACCATGCCACGCTCAAAATTGCTTAAATCACCTTTCTTTCCCATTCTGACATTCAGTTTGGAGTTCAGGAGATTGTCTTGACCAGGACCACACCCCTAAATGCATTGAAGCAACTGCCATGTGATTGGTTGATTAGATAATTGCATTAATGAGAAATTGAACATGTGTTCCTAATAATCCTTTAGGTGAGTGTATATACAGGCTCTGCCACACTGAGTTGCTGCTGTTGCTCCCACATTCAGCTCTATCAAACCGATCATGGCTGGTTGGCATGAAACGCGTCACTGCCGGTTCCCCAGAGCAGTAATGTTGTCATAGACACCAGATTTATAAAACTCTGGTAAACTGCAAGTGCAGACAGATTTACTTAGCTGTGATAGGCTCAGTCATTGTGTGAACTTCTTCTGAAATGTCTTGAATGTAATGTTCATTTATATGTAAAATTTCCACACTCTTGCTTTAAGGTGGGATGGCATGAGAGTCAAAGTAGTTTTGGGAAATGTAGCCTCACACACTGAAGCACCTCCACTACAAATGAAAGTCTGTGTCCTGGTGTTGTTGAGTCTGACTGCAGTTTCTGATGTGCTCTGTGTTACAGTGATACAGGCTCAGAATGGCTGGGGAGTGACTTACACCTCTACTCAGATCTGTGCCTTAAAAGGATCAACAGTGGAAATAAGCTGCACCTACACATACCCATCCAGAATAAATGACCGTGATACTACAGTTCAGGAAACATTCTGACTGAGAATCTTCATAGACAGGAATCGTTCTGGTTTACTCAGATGAATGGAGATGTACCTGTGGATCTGAGAACAGACTCAGAGTACGCAGGTCGTTTGCAGTACAGTTGTTCTGACAACATCTGCACTCTGAGAATCACAGACCTGAGAGAGAGCGACTCAGCTCAGTACAAGTTCATGTTCATAACAAACCAACCAGGTGGAAGATTTACTGGTTCACCTGGAGTCACTTTGTCTGTCACAGGTAACGTTCATCTGATTTTAAATAATTATATAAATATGTTGCATTGCACATGTGTATTTATGGTCTAAAATAATGTTCCTGTTCCTTCTTCACAAATCCAGATCTCCAGGTGCAGGTTAGCAGACCAAACGTTGGCATGATTACTACTGAGGCAGAGCTGCTTTGTCACAGCAGCTGTCGTCTGCCTGATCGTCCTTCCTACATCTGGTACAAGAATGGACAGAAAATTCAGAAAGAAACATCTTCTTATTCAGGCTACTTTGATTCTGCAGACAGTTATTCCTGTGCTGTGAAAGGACTGGAGGGTTTCCCCTCTCCTTCAGTGTGTGAGTTTACTCCACAATCTTCCACTAACATAACACCATCTGGTGGAGCCGAATCACTACATGTATTTTAAATAAAGAGACCCTCATTGTGACTCCTCACCAGATCTGGTTTAAAGATGGTCTTAAACTGTTTTATCTTTCAGGTATTCGCGGTCAAATCTGCAACAGAGTGACTTACACTGACAGAAGCATCTGTGCCTTCAAAGGATCATCAGTGGACATTTCTTGTACTTACAACAGTTATGAAACTATCAGATCTAAATTCTGGTTCAGTCCTGAACGTAGTCTTCAGTGGCAGAATCCCTCACAGCCTGAGGACCTTAGTGAAGACTCCCAGTATGCAGGTCGTGTTCAGGTCCTTGAAACAGAGAGAGGACGCTCCACTCTGAGAATCACTGACCTGAGAGAGAGCGACTCAGCTGAGTATCACTTCAAATTCACAGCAGGAAGCTTTGAATGGAGGAGTAGTTTACCTGGTACAACTCTGACTGTCACAGGTACTGTGATCCTAACGAAGAGAATTTTGCATGTGATTAACTGATTACATGAACACAATCAGCATCCTGTATATAGAGACAAATGATTAAAGACGTGTTATTGTGCTGTCACTTTCCACCAGCAGGAGTCAAACCTGGACAGCTTAAGGATCAGCACTCTGTGATTCGGTCCCATAGCGTTTCATATGCAAACCATAGAGATAAAACCAAAACATTATTTTTTACATGTTATTTAGCAGAGTGTATCATTTAGATTGCACCAGTAGCCTGTATCCACAGACTGCAAGTTCCAGCAAAGGAGAAGAAAATAGTTATACTATCTGAGAGTGACATGTTCTGATAGTCTGTTGGTTTCTTACTGAGACACAACGCTGGTAATAAACCTACACAACTACCAGGACAAAGATACCCACTCAGTTAGCATGACTGAGACTACTGCAACGTGATATCATGGAATGGCATAAAAATAGCACGCCACCTTTAAAGACATTTTGGCGTGCCATGTCATTTTAAGCTTTTCGTGTGTTATTTTATGCTATTCAGTCCCTATAGACCTAAGCAACACAAAGGAGGTAAACCCTATCTGCGCAGCTGTAGGGTTAACCAGTCGACATGCATATATAATCAATGATGGTTAAGGTTAGCAGTAAAGTACATTGGGGAGGATGTCAATGCTAGCATTGTTAGCTATCTAGCTACTTAAACTTTAACGTATCTAACAGAATAAGTAACTAAGTAACTAACATAAGCAACGATGTATCATTGTAAATTACGTAACATAACGTAACTATCCACCTAACCACCCTGCCACCACCTTAGTGTCAGACTTTCATGGCTATTTATATCCCACACACGCTGATTTTACCTGTGACAGTAGGTATAAAATGACATGCAAATAATGCATTGGAATACCACGCCAAATTACTTATGAAATCGACATGTTATTCATACGCCTTTTCATGATACCAGGCTGGATATAGACTGGCTTTCTGTTCTGTGTTGATGCGTTTTAAATATTTTCATGGTTTCAAAGTTTACAGCTTTAAGGGGTTCTTCACCATGCAAATGCCTGTCTTGCCCATTCTGATCTTGAAAATATGTTAGCTGTAATTTCACTAAATATCACAATTAGTCACTACACATTTTCTCCCTCACTATGTTAGGAACCTGCAGCACAGCTTATCAAGTGGAGCATTAGTAGACAGAGATCAGATAAATTATAACATATCCATTTCATAAGTTATAAATGTTCCTCTTTGGTTGCCTAAAAACTGTTGTATTTCTCTACATGTTCTACTACAGATGATCCAGATCTTCCCTGTGTGTCAATGAGTCCCTCTGGTGAGATTATTTTTACCCTTTGACAAAACCAATCCCAAAAAACACACTTAAACCATTATTTGTGTCCAGTTATCTTCACTATTGGACCCAAACATTCCTGTAACTTTTCCAGTGTTTGTGCTTGATTGTTATTTTCCAGGTTCATTGAATTGAATTTCCGGTTGTTCTATCAGTCATTGCTGTTGTTCTGGTCTTCATACTTCTTCTCTCTGTCTTCATATGGATTAGGTGAGCAGATCAGTTTCTCTGTGATTCAATTTACTATTCATCTTAAAGGAAGGGTTCACATTTGTCAGTATCAAGTCGGTCACAAAGCAATAGTCACATGCTCATACAGTATGTAGGGGAGACCGGGTATGTTTATAACACTTTTTGCTTCAGTAACTATAACTCACAGAATTTTTTAGCTAGAGTTCTCAAATTTCTATACCAAGTACACACATGTTCACTACAAATGTCACCAATTCAATCCTCTACAAGAATATGAAAGACCTCATGAGTTGATGTCAAATGCATTGTTCCCTTGTTACAACCTACCCCATATGCTGGGGTAAGCTGTAACAATCACACAAAAGAATCAAAAATGGATGCTACACTATATGATAAGCTTCAAAAACAGGTAGTGATTTCAAAGAACAATGTTTCACTCTTGCTGTAACAGACTTTGTCTGATGACTCATGTGCATGAACAGTATGTGTATATAAATTTATCTAGAGAATAAACTTACTTAAAAGTATACTTAATAAATACTACTAAAATGTTCCAAATTAAAGAACATATCTGTAAATCCTTATGTCTAACTAAAAATAGGTGTGTGTGTGTGTGTGTCAATGTGCGTATATTCTTATATTCTGAGTCACAGTCAGTGCTTGCAGTGGGCCGGTATTCACCGGTACGTATACCAGCACTTCTATATTTCACTCTTTGGCGTACCAGGACTTTTGCACACAGGCACTTCTCACAAGCTGCCCATACACTTTTCTACCCTTTCCACGGGCGGAGACAGAGTATGGAAAAAGTCGAGTGACGACCACATGTGTACAGCATGTGAATGGGGAGTACTGGTCACAGTGCTGACAAATTAATTCTGGTAACCCTGGAGTGCTGGTTTGGTGGGTCCAGACTGCAAAGGGCACTCTGAAAAATATTAAAATCAAAGAAAGTCCCTAGTTTTTTGTATAGAGGATGGTTGTAACACTTTAAGAAGTGTTACAACCCATCCCACCCCTGTTAGCCAATGTTTAGCTAGCGGTATTACCATAGTGGTAGTCAAACAATTCCATCTGCAATAGTATAGATACTAAACAAAAAATAGTCTTGGTCAAAAAATGTACTTTCTTACCTCAAAATCAGTTTTTTCTCTACATATTCTGAATGCAAACTTGATAACCACCATGCCTGATCTGGGAGGAAGTAGGTAAATAGTGAAATGATCACCTAACCTATCTTATCTGTATTTGGTGGAATTGGTGTTGTTACAACTCTCCCCAGGTTACAACCATACCCGGTCTCCCCTACATTGAAAGTACACTGTAAGTGGTTCCTGGCCCTCAAGAGATCCCCTCTTAAAGCAGTTTCAATGTAAGTGATGCAGGACAAAATCCAGTTTCCATACTAAATTCCAGGCTAATTGTGGAAGATACTCACTTGACTTGTCCAACTCAGAAGTTTATTAACATTGTATTAATGTTTGTTTGAAGAAATGTGTGTGTAGTTCTTTTATTTATTCTCCTGTGAGGAGAGGTCTTTGCAACAACAACCTGAGGCTGATGAGACACCACACAACAGAGCAGAGGTACAAACAAAAACATGCTGTTCAGACTGCAGAGTCACCGGTCAGCTGAAAACTCATCTCAATGGTGCATCACTTCCTTCTTTGACTACTTTATTCACCTTAATTAACCACATCCTCCTTTATCTATCACCCTCCCTACTAGCAGCCTTCTCTATTTACACCTTATAAATTCACTCGTTTCCTCTGGGTCCCCTGAGGTTCAGTCGTTGGTGTAGAGGGAGAAGAGCAGTGGGGAGAGCACACACCCCTGGGGGGCGCCAGTGCTGATAGTCCGGGTGCTGGATGTGATGTTCCCCAGCCTCACCTGCTGACTCCTGTCAGTCAGGAAGTCTGTGATCCACTGTCAGGTGGAGGCACAGTGAGCTGGGTGAGTTTGGTGCTGAGGATGTCCGGGATGATGGTGTCGAACGCCGAGCTGAAGTCCACAAACAGGATCCTTGCATATGTCCCTGGAGAGTCGAGGTGTTGCAGGATGTGATGCAGACCCAAGTTGACAGCATCATCCACTTAACCTGTTAGCCCTTTAGGCAAACTGCAGGGGGTCCAGCAGAGGGCCTGTAATGTCCTCCAGGTGGGCCAACACCAGTCTTTCAAAGAACTTCATGACTACAGATGTCAGGGTGACAGGCCTGTAGTCATTCAGTCCAGAGATGGAGGGTTTTTTTAGGAACCGGGATGACTGTGGAGCGTTTGAAGCAGGAGGGAACTTCACACAGCTCCAGTGATCTGTTGAAGATGGGGGCCAGCTGGTCCGCACAGATTTTCAGGCACGATGGTGAGACACCGTCAGGTCCAGGAGTCTTCCTGATCTTCTGCCTTTGGAAGAGGTGGCTCACGTCCTCTTCACAGATCTTTGTTTTTTTTTTTTTTTTTTTTTTAAACCTGTCCGGCCCAGCAGCCTGGTATAGAGTACAATGACCTGGATACCATATTGTGCCAGACAGATTTTACTTTAACAAGAGAGTATTAAAATACTCCTTTGTCTGTTTTATTATTTGTTTAATTATGTATTGATTTGTCACCGGGCCAGACAGGGGGGCAGACACAGGGATGGGGGGACACAAACAGACAGCACAGAGAAAGGACAAGACCTGTAAGAGAAGGGGGAAAGGGGGATGGAAGGTGGGGACAACAGGGAAAAGCTGCGGGAAACACCAATTGCAGAAAGCAACGAAACCTGCAATAGAACAGAGAGGGGGGCTTGGGGAGGAGAAAAACAACAACAACAAACAAAAACAAACAATAAAAATAATAATAGTAAAAGACAACCAGCCGAACAGCAGCAATAAACAGCTGACATATTAAGACAAGAGAACAATGAAAACAAGAAACAGTCACACACACTAAATAAGCAACACATCACAGCCACGAGAGCTGGAATAATAATTAATTTAAGTAACTGAAAGAAAAGCATCAGGAATAATTCTACCAGGGACAACCTAAGTTTGTTTGTGTCTGTGTGTGTCTGTGTGCGTGTGGGTGAATGTGTCTGTATGTGTGTGCTCATAAGCCTGTTAAAGAATGTAGTTGTTAGTGAGAGTGGGACGCCACGACTGTAACAGCAAGGCAAGAACCCCAGTAGCCAATAGGGGTGGGAGAAAGAAAAAGAATAAATCAAATAAAAAAAAAACAAAGACTCCGTTGACAACGTAATGCCGACGGAATGCAAAAAAGCGTAACCCGCGGAAGAGCAGCGCTCGGACCAACCGTGGCGCGCACACAACATAGACCAGTGCTCCTCCTCCACCCACCACCCCACCGCCGCGCAGCGAACAACCAAAATGCCCAAATGCCATTTAATCATCAACACCAATGCACAAGTGACGAGCACAACGCGCACACTGCGCGAGCACGGCGACACCC